TTTGAGCAGTTTTTTATACATAGTCTGGTTGTAAGAAAAGGAGTCAGTTTGTCAAAGAGCTTTTTCTTTTTCTCAGATTCTAGCTTGCTCTCTACTGCCCTTTGCGTTTCCCCATTCAGAAAGCAGTAACACCATCCCTATACATAAAATACAGTAACAGTGATCTATGATCCCAAACTGATGGAGTTAGGTAAAACTCTACAGGGTGTTGGGGGAGATGCTAGAGGAAATAGAGTAGATGAAGCTGAGTAAGTTTAAGGAAGTTATCTGGAAGAGGTGAGTTTATAGTAGGGTTTAGAAGGCAAGAAGGAAAACAGCAGAAAAGTCATGGAAGGCCTTTTCACACATACTATGAGCTATTAAACCAAAGTCAAGAGGAGGAAGTCAAGTATTTTTAAGTATAATAGGAGTTTGGGCTAGGGGAATGGGGGTTCCTCTATAGACGTGGAGTTTTTTTTTGTTTTTGAGACAGGGTCTCACTCTATTCCCCAGGCTGGAGTGCAGTGGCACAATCTCAGCCCACTGGAACCTCTGCTTCCTAGGCTCAAGTGATTCTCCCACTCAGCCTCCCAAGTAGCTGGGACTACAGGCGTGCACCACCAGGCCCGGCTAATTTTCTGTATTTTTTGTAGACGGAGTTTCACCATGTTGCCCAGGCAGGTCTGGAACTCCTGGTCTCAAGCCATCTGCCTGCCTTAGCCTCCCAAAGTGCTGGGAATACAGGTGTGAGCCACTGAGCTCTTGAATGGAGTCCTGAAATGTGGAAAGTTTTTTTTTTTTTTTTTTTTTAAATAAGCCATTTAACCAGGCGAAGTGGCTCACGCCTGTAATTCCAGCACTTTGGGAGACTGAGGTCTTGATAGTGAATATGAAATGTGGAAAGTTTTTTTTTTTTTTTTTTTTTTTGACAGAATCTTGCTCTGTTGCTCAGGTTGGAAGGCTCACTGCAACCTCACCCTGCTGAATTCCAGCAATTCTTGTGCCTCAGCCTCCCTAGTAGCTGGAACTACAGGCATGAGCCACCATGCCTGGCTAATTTTTTGTATTTTTAGTAGAGGCAGGGTTTCCCCATGTTGGACAGGCTGGTCTTGAACTCCTGGCCTCAAGTGATCCACCCACTCTGCCTCCCAAAGTTCTGAGATCACAGGCATGAGCCACCACACCTGGCTGAAACACGGAAAGTATTTTAAGGTGGAGAATGGAGAGAGTTAAGCAAGACAGGAATGAGCATAACTCTAACAGAGGCTATACCACCGCTGGGAAGAATGGGCTAGGTTTTGGAAGGCCTTGAAAATCAGACCCAAGATCAATTTGATGCAATAGATGGTGAATAAGTCATTCCAAATGGGAAGAAGTTTAGAAAATAGTAGAAATTCATAATAAAGGGTTTCTGAAGCTTGTCCAAGGGAACTTGGATTATCTCCAGAGGTAATTGGGGATGTTGAGCTTCTTTTTCTTTCCTCCCCAAATTCCTTTTTACTGGTGGGCTTGGAAGATATACAATTTTCTAAAAAGAAATTCCTTTTTACCAGTATGTGGAGTATCTAAGCAAGGAAAGGCCATGGGCCACAAAGAAGTTGCTGTAGCATGAAAACTGACAAGTGGTTTCTTTCTAGGAAGCTATGAGGGACCCTGTGAGTAGCCAGTACAGCTCCTTTCTTTTCTGGAGGATGCCCATCCCAGAACTGGATCTGTCGGAGCTGGAAGGCCTGGGTCTGTCAGATACAGCCACCTACAAGATAAAAGACAGCAGCGTTGGCAAAATGATCGGGCCAGCAACTGCAGCAGACCAGGAGAAAAACCCTGAAGGTGATGGCCTCCTTGAGTACAGCACCTTCAACTTCTGGAGAGCTCCCATTGCCAGCATCCACTCCTTCGAACTGGACTTGCTCTAAGGCCAAGACTTCTCTCTCCCACCACCTTGCCCTCATTGTCTTCCCTCTCAAGTCCCTTCCTTTCCACTCCTTTCCCATTTTAATCTTCTCTCTCTATTGTGTTGGTGGTGCTGATGAATCTGCCAGAGTTGAGTTCTATGTATTTATTTATCTGTCTACTCCATTTCTCTCAAAAGCCCTCAAGTCACAAAGTAAATGGTTCAAGCAGTGGAGTACTGGGTCACAGGGATTCCTCCTTCCCCCTCAAATATTAACTCCAGAAACTAGGCCTGATTGGGGACACCTGAAAGTAGTATAGTAGTGCAAAATGGAAGACTGATTTTTGACTGTATTTTAATCAGCTTCAGAGATTCTTTAAACTTTCCTAATTTCCTGCTCTATGCCAGTAAATACAAATATTTCTTCAAGGGGTGATGAAAACCTCGGAAGTTTTAATCTGAAGTTATCTGCTATGAAAGGCTAAAGTGATTAAGTCTCATGCTTTTTTTTTTTGATCCTGCTCTTTCTTATATTCTTTTTCTTCCTCAGAGAAATCAGGAAGGTAGTTGGAGGTATAAAACAGGAGGAAATATTATGGAAAATGAAAATAGGGAAAATAACTGAATCATTTTAGAAGCAGCTAATTTCTTTTCTCCAGAGTATCCCTTCTTCAACCCTACTCACTTTACTACTTTGCTCCAGTGGGTTGAAAACTCTAGCTAAAGAAAGTTATCAAATCTTAATATGCATTCCTACTATTATTATAGTTTTTAAGGTTTCAATACAATCTTCTGAACGGCGTAAAGTCCTTAGTATTTTAGCCTTACCTCCTGCATTTGCAATATGTAAAACTAATCAGTGGGCACAGTTCAGCTACATTGAGACCCTGAAATGAACAATTACATTCTGACTCTGCATCTTGTCCCCAATCCTTCCAAAATTATTGTTGCTGATTTGTGCTGCCATTTAACTCATTTATTTAATAAAAACATTCAATCCCAGGACTGGAGTCTAGTTTTCTCTCTCTTCACAAGGGAAGTCATAGAAATCTGAGAAATTAGCCTTGCTTTCACACTCAGCTTATACATCTTTTTATGTTTTATTTTTTGAGACAGGGTCCTGCTCTGTCACCCAGGTTGGAGTGCAGCACTGCAATCACTGCTCACTGCAACCTCCACCCACCGGGGTCAAGGGGGCCTCCCACCTCAGCCTCCCAAGCAGCTGGGATTACAGGGGCCTGCCACCAGGCCCGGCTAATTTTTGTATTTTTCATAGAGATGGGGTTTCACCATATTGCCAGGCTGGTCTCGAACTCCTGACCTCAGGTGATCTGCCCGCCTTAGCCTCCCAAAGTGCTGGGATTTACAGGCGTGAGCCACTGAGCCTGGCCTCATTTTATCTTTCTATAATAATATTCAACTTAGAGGAAGAATGATTTGAATAGCATTTAGACATTAAATGGTGAACGTCACATTGAACAGATAAATAATGAAAGAGCAAAATCAACTTAAAACTAGAAAAGTAGGGAGACAGCTACAACCACTCTTCTGCTTGCCCACTGACTACCAACATATTTCAGGTAATAATTCTCCTAGGTGCCTAACAAGATAAACGAATTCACTCAAATACGTTATCTGCTTAATTTCTGGTTTTTGTGTGCCTACTATAGGAAAGCACTGAGCCAAAAGAATGTAAACGGGAATGAGACAAGACTCCAACTCTCAAGAGAAACTGTAAATACCAATATGGATAGGACAGCATTGGGTAGTGTATCATAAATAAGGACGATCTAGAGAAGTCCCCAAGAGAGAGGAAAAAAGGCAAATCCTCCCTCTAGGCCATGAAAACCCCACATCTAAAGACAGTCCCAATCTAACGGAGAATGGGGCCAGGAAGGATAAGCAGTGCGTCCTTTTCTATTTTTACTGAGTTTTGAAAGGCCCCTTCAGAGTCCTTCAGTCATGGCAATTGGTGGGTGGGGACAGGGATCAACTGGTAAATAAAATGACTAAATGGATTTGCAAACTCATGTTCCAT